CGTCGCCTTCGCGGAACAGCAGCTCGTACTTGATGATGCTTTCTTGCCTTGGGGGGCTCCATGAGAGCCCAATGCTGGTCTCCGACTTGGCCTCTGCCCGGAAGTTCATGGGCTGGCCAGGCACTGGGGTTGGGGCGGAGGAGCAGAAACAAAGGGGAGCGTGGGGGGGCCCATCCCAATTAGGGTGCTCGCCCCCAGAAGAGCCCCTGAAGGAAGACTGTTCAGTTCCAGATGCTTCCAGAATGTTCTCCCACTGTCCCCTCACTTTCCGAGGGGTCCCCGTGTTGCTATTTGCCCATCTCAACGCCTCCCCCGCTTTCTCGGGGCCACTGGAAGCACTGAAGCAGTGGGGTATTCTGAGGGTGACTGCTGTACCCGCGCAGCAGCTCGGGGGTCCAGCCCTGCCCCGGTGCCTGTGGCGTCGCCGAGTCTTTCTGGATTTGAGGTCACGGAGTCCCAGGCCCATAAAAAGGGTCAGAAACGTGCTGAGCTGGGGCTCCCCCCTTCCAACCCAGGAGCCGGCCAGCAGTCAGCTGCCCTGGGGTAGATGCCCGCTGACTAACTCACAGTAGCCAGCACGGATCTCCACACGAGCTGATTACCAACTCAGACTCCCACTGAGAAGGGGGGGGGGCAGGAACAGCGCCCCCATCTTGGATGCAGCTGCTGGCACCACTCTGGCGGTCAGGTGGTTTGTAAAATCTGCTTTCCCAAGGGAAGCAGAAATTGGGGTTTTCCGGGACTTTGATTTTAAATGGTAGCACAAAAATAGTCATTCATCACTGAACAAGAGCAGTAAGCTGAGAAATCGCTGGGCGATTTCGTTGCGTGAGAACGTCGCAGCCGTAATTACAGACCTGGACGGCACGGCCCGCGAGGACTGTGTGGCCTTTGTGGCCTGTCACTGGCCACGCGTGGCTGCAGCCAAAAGCACGCGGGGGACAAGGACCGGCTGCAGGGCCCCCCGTGTGCCAGGACAGGAGACCCAGCACCCCGCCTCCTGCCGCCCACAGCCTCACCTCCCTGCTGCGTCTTGACCTGGATGGGGTCCGAGAGGGGCCCGTCTCCCACGGAGGTGAAGGCCAGCACGCGCACCGTGTAGGTCTCGTCCTCCAGCAGGCTGCCCACGGTGGTCAGCAGGCTGTCATCCACATTGTGCTTCTGCCAGTTGCCCACGGGGTGCTCGGGCTCCATGGTGTAGTAGACCCGGTACCCCCGGACCAGGCCGTTGGGCTCCACGGGCTCCTCCCACTGGATGATCATGGTGGTGGCGCTCAGCATGCGGGCCTGCACGTTCCTGGGGGCGCTGGCCGGCGCCTGCTCGCCTGTGCGGGTGACCACGGGCTCGCTCGGGGGGCCCTGCCCGATGGAGTTGACAGCAGACACCCAGATCTCATACTCAGAGTTGGGGCTCAGGCCCCCAATGCTGTAGCGCGTCGTGGTGATGTCCTCCTTGATCTGATAGGGCCCGTCCTGGCTCTTGGATTTGTACTCGATGACGTAGTAGGACACAGGGTCCGGGTTGCCCGAGTCCCAGGTGATGGTGATGCTGGTGGCTGTGTTCTCCGTCACCACGGGAGTCCCCGGGGCTTTGGGCAGAGCTGTGGGTGGAGGCACGGACACGAGTCAGGGACACACCGGCCGCAGACCCCGAGGTTATGTCACCATGTAAAGCAGGGGCCAGCAGGCTGTGGACCCAGGACCGGCACACGCTGTTTGTCAATAAAGCTTTATTGAAACCAGCTGCGTGTATGTCCTGCTGACAGTGGCTTTGTCAGCACAGACGGCCACTAGGGCCAGCTTTTCCTTTTTACAACTAGTTTGCTAGAGAAGAAAAATATTTACTTTTGGGGGAGACACTGGTGGCCCCTGGTCTACAGTTCACTTTGCTTATCTGTCCCCACTTCCCCTTCCCCACACCTGGATGCTCCGTCCCCAGGGGCCACCTGGCAGGTGCTAGCCATGCCTCCCAGCCGTCCCGGAGACGCCGATTACCCGAGGTCGTCGCTGTGTGGGACCAAGTTTTGTCTATCGTTGCTGTGGCTTACCAGAAATGTATGCTGGTCATTGCAATGACCAAAAACACATATGTGTGTAGATTTATCTCAGTATAAAGATCTGGTCTGTGTCTGGAGCCTGACACTGCTCCCGCGGCCACTGGAATCGCCTAAGTGTGGCGAGTAATGCAGGAGCCTGTTCTTACGTGAGTAAGGTGACTCTGGAAGCATCTAAGGTTGGGGCTAGTTGCCCGGAGAGCCAACTGCGTGGCCAGAGGTTGGAGTGTACATTCCTCAGTCTAAGTCCCCAGATCTGCAGGCTGGAGTGTACATTCCTCAGCCTAAGTCCCCAGACCTGCAGGCTGGAGTGTACATTCCTCAGTCTAAGTCCCCAGACCTGCAGGCTGGAGACTGAACCAATGGCCAGTGGCCAACGAGTGAATCTGCCACGCCACAGCAATGCAGCCCCCACAGAAGCCCAAAGGAGGGAGTCTGGAGAGTCTCCAGCTTGGGACATCAGTGCCACCATGCCAGACCCAACTCCACGAGGAAGCAGCTCCTCTGTTTGGGGCCTCACCCTGCAGACCCCTTCATCTGGCTATGCATTCATACTCTTTGGTGTCCTCTGGAGTAAGTTTGCATCCTACCAGCAAATGGCTTCCTGGGTGCTAGAAGAACTCTGTGACTGACTGACTGAGGAAGGGGCTGGGTGACCTCAGGCTCCTGGCCTGCAGGTGAGCAGCACACGCAGTACCTCTCACGGCGGGTGGGAGCACAGCTAAGAAGCCTGGGCCCACGTCACGGCCAAGGAAGCATTGACGGGCAGTTTGAACCCTTCGCAGTATAACCAACAATGCCGGCATTGTCTGTGGTCCCAGCTAGGGCAGAGCTCGGGCAAAGGCCCTGGCGTAATGGTTTTCCATGCTGCAGACTAGGGCCATCTTGGTGGAAACCACTCAGTGCAGCCCTGGGAGCCCCAAAGCTCACGGACAGGCAAGCATGAATGGGTCTGTGCCGATAAAACTCTACTTATGAAACCAAAGGGTGGCCCGGGGCTAGCCTGGGGCTGGCAACTTCGTGGCCAGTGTTGTCAAGCTCGCAAAGTATTTAGGGCACCTTCTTCCGCGTCTCACCCTAAATTTGAAACATCAGGAGAATCCGATGTCACTGAATCCCCCAGTGTCAATCTGGACTTTTGGCACAGATTGCTTCCTTTCCTGAGAACGGCTCCCCCTTCTCTGGCTCATTTATGTGCAATGTGTAGTCTTTCCTGACTGAACATGCCTAGAAGGTGGGATTTCTACGTTGGGGGCCAGAGGACCCTTGAGGCCCCAGCAGCCGGTAATAACCACCCGGTGACTGACTACACAGGTATTTCTCTCTCTGGACTGTGAGCTCCAAGGAGGGCAAAGTCTCGATGCATGTGATCAGCATCATTTACCAGTGACAAGTATTTTGTCCAGAGAACCACGGTCCCCGTAAAGGCCATGAGAGATCGAAGCCAAACCGGCGAAATGTCCACTGTCCCTCCCACCTGGGGTCAGACTCCACTGGCCTTCCCGGCGCCCTGCTTACACTTCACTGTGATCTGGGCCACGGCCTCGATGACACCCAGGCTGGACATGGCCACGCATGTGTAATTGGCAGAATCCTTGACATCCGTGAGTTCCAGCACATTCCGACCCACGGGCATGTCATCTTCCGGCGTCAGGTCCTCCGCCCCCTGCATCCACTTGACGTATGGCATGGGCGAGCCCACGGCCACGCAGGTGATGTTCACGTTGCCACCTGGCATGATCTCGTGGCTCATGGGTAAGATGGAGAATCGAGGGGCCACGCGGCGGACTGGGGGGGCGGCGGCAGCGGCAGGCAGAGGGAGATGCAGGGGGTGGGAGGGAGACGGAATGTAGGAGAAAGGAAAGACAAGCAAGGAGAAAGAAAGAAGGAAAGAAAGAAAAAAAGGAAAAAAAAGTGGAAAACAATTTAAATATAAACAGGGCTGCTGCCTCCCCCCCAGTTGAAATTTTTTTTCTTCCAAATGAAAAAAAAACAAAAAACAAAAAAACAAATTAAAAAAAAAAAAAAAAACCAAAACCAAATTCCAACACAAAGAAACCAAAACTTCAAAAGAAGGTACTTCACAAACAATATATAGAGAGATATATCGATATATAATAAAAGAGACATGAAGCATTATTCCATAGCAACAGGGTTTCAGGGACCAGAGTGGCTGGTCACAGCACAGATATGGACACAAAAATTTATCAGCCGTTTCTCATCTTTGCTGCCAGACATGGCTTCGGAATGCAGCCCCTCCGTCTGCGCTCCAAGCGGCAGCTTCGGAGGGTCTGGCTGCGGGTACCGGGGCGGGCTGGGACGGGAAAGGGCAGGTCACGGGAGAGCTGGGGGCGGGGGTGGGGGGAAGCACCCCAGGTGACCCAGGGGCCCCGCCCACTTTCCCTGGGGCCCTCAAGGAAAAGATGAGAAACTCTAATGAAATTTTTGTGGTTTTGGGGTATAGAAACCCTTCTAAAAGCTTCTGTCAGTTCTGACAAGTTTCCATTGATAGATGCAGCTCTCAGGATCACAAACAGCATGCAAAGTAGGTTGGTTGAGATAAAGAGAAAGAGAGAGACAGAGAGAGACAGAGACAGAGACAGAGGAGAGAGAGAACAAGAGCCAGGAGGGACAGAGAGAGGCTAATGCGAAGCTGAGACTGGGTCTCAGGGCCTTCAGTGCGGCACCCGCGGGGGCACCAGGGAGGAGAGACAGAGCCGAGAGAGAGGAAACCAGGGCCAGAGGGCCAGAGAGGGACAGAGAGAGAGGGGGGGAGGGGCCCACTTCAATGCTGCATATTAACTCTAGCAGATGTGACCCAATGCAACATGTCACATTGTCACATCACAGCCCTGGCAGGATAATAAATAGAATATTAATAATAATAATAATAATAACAACAACAATAATAATAATAATAAAAAACAAGGGAATGGACTGGAACGTTGATAAACAGGGACATGTTCTGTGCGTTTCTTAGCAGGGAGCGGATGCAGCCTTCTGTCCCATCTCACAGACCACGAAGGCAGCAGGATGCGTTTCGGGGGCTCCATTTTCGGAAGGTGAATTTTTCGGGGGAGGAGGACCACCACGGGTGGACACCTACATGCACCTGACCATCCGCTCCAAAAGGCGCTTCTCTAGCAGAGGCGCCGTGGGAGGACCGGGGTCAGCTGCGTAGTGCTTCTAGCCAGAAAGAGGTTGTCCCTGGCGGGGGTCTCGGGACCCAGAGAAGGCATGGGGGGAGGGCTCGGCTATGGTGGGCCAAGGAGGGGGTCCTTGCTCCAACCCTGGACATGACAGACAGGGAGCTAGAAGGCTGAAAGGGCTAGAAGGGACTTGGAGCACACTGCTTGGCCAACCTTCAGGCGTTGCTGGGGCTGCAAGCCGCAGCCCGAGAGGGTGGCTGATGGGGCCTGGCTGCTCTACAGAGCGCTTTGGGACAGGAGGACACAGCCGATTCTCTCCATTCCAGCCTTGCTTCTGAACGGAGAATCCCAACCCCTGCTCCCTGAATATCCCAGCTGGAGGCAAGAGAAGGGGGAGCTCTGTGGGGGCAGGAGAGAGGGCGGGGAAATTGGCAGCCCTTCGGAAAAGGGAGCCCCTCGAAAAGTCCAGAGTCACGCTGGAGACAGGATGGTGGGAGTGGAAGGTACTGCTGGAGGCGGAGGGCTGGGGGGGCGGGGGCAGGGGGCAGACAGGAGGGAGACAGAGGGGGACATGCAGACAGACCGGGGCGTGAGGGGCAGGATGGGCACTGAGATGGGGGGCAGCTTTCTGGCAGGGCTGGGTGGACGGTGGTGGAAGTTGGGGGAGAATGGGGTCCGGCCAGCCAGCGGACACAGGCCAGGCCAGCCGCCGGCATCCACAGCGAGGCCCGAGTGGGATGCCGACGCTGCGTTGTCATGGAAACAGAACACGATGGGGGATGAGCTGGGGGATGAGCCGGGGGATCTAATTAATCAAGGACAGAAATCGGCATCGACATCCAAAACAAAACCAGGAGAAACAAATGAAAAAACAAAGCGGAAAACAGAAAGATCCAAAAGACAAATTAAAGACCCTCTGAGATAAAAACCAAATGCCCAAAAGCAAGAAGAAAAAAAACCATGGAATGGGTGTGGGGCTGAAAATCGGGGTCTGAAAGGAGGGGGGCTGTGGCTTCCCCAGGAGGTGCCCCTGCCCCCAGGCAGAACACAGGGTCTGGCCCCCCACCCGGCCCCGAGCATCGGCCGAAGGCTTGAGGCGGCCACACGGGTGAGCTCCTCTCCGAGAAAGCTGCTTCGGAGCAAACCAACCCCCCGATCCGACAGGCCTGCTGGCCCCTTCTGGGGAAGACCACCTTTAGCCCTCGTTAAACGAGGTCCGCAAACCCCGTCCCACATCGAGATGACCTCCGTGAGGTCTGAGTCCCCAGAAAACCTCCTCAGGCAGAGGGGAGGGAGCTGATGGAGCCGAGTGGGCCTGTGGCCTTGGGAGGTCCCGCGTCCTCCGGGGCCGTCTGGGGCCTCATCTGTGAAATGAGCCACAGGATGGCAAGCTGGGCAGCCAGCAAGCTGACTGGGTGGGGCAGTGCCCGGCGTAAGGTGGGTGCTCGACCCAGACGTGGCCCCGTCGGCCCTTCGGAGTGCTGGCAAGGTCAGCTAGACTCTACCTCAAGGGGGCTTTGGGATGAATTCGAGTTAAAAAGAGAAGAAAAGGATACAGTAGGAATTTCTATTGACTGTCCACCTTGCTCTATCCCTCCCAGGAAGGCTGAGAGACGGCCGTCCTTGAATTTGTTTTGTGGGCGAGGCGCAGAGGCCCGGCGAGGGGACGGGGCTGGCTGGGGGTCGCGCAGGAAGCAGGTGGCAGGACGAGCGTGCAGGCCAGGCCTGCCTGGCTCCTGCCTCTCAGAGAAAGTGGGTCTTGGCTCACCCTGCTGAGTGGCCAGAATTACAGCCAGGCGACCCTTCTTGGCATCGGGTTCTTTCAAACTTGTGAGTCCTTACCCCCGTACCCATCACCAGTGAAATACTATCCAGCGGCCATCATAATGCCCGTCCAGGAGCCATCGTAAAAGGCTCCTACGGGAAGGGGCTGTCGGAACAGCGAAGGAACGACGAGCTGACTTTAGGAGTTAAAGGTTAACTGTGAGCCCGATTTATTCCTCCGGAAAGCACAACATCTCACCCAAAAGAATGTGTCCACATCTGATCTTAGCTTAAAATAGCTCCCCTTAGGAAGCAGCCTAATTTAGAAGGTACCTCTAACTTTTTCCAGAAGTAGAGACAAGGCGTACATCTTAAACATGTAAAAGACTTGCTGCGCAGGGTTGTTAATTCTAAGTCAGTTAAATGTGGGAGGGCATTTATCAACAACAGCAATTTCAGCGCTCACAATCTCCAGCATGGCCGGCAGCCATCAGTTCAGTGGATCTGCTAATAAACTGCAAAGGCTGACACCCAAGAAACTTTGCCCACTTGCTTTCTCACCCCCTCATCTGCTTCTAAGGGTGTGCTGTAGGAAGAGGGCTGGTTTGCCACGAATTTAGGGAGGAGTGTGCCCAACTGGCACTGGGTGGCTCGGACCCCACCCTGGGGGTCCGAGACCTCGAGGCACCCCCCCCAGCTGGCAACGGTGGGTGGCTGACGCTGTGTTCTGCCCAGGTTGGTGCTGACACCCACCCGCTCATCTCTCCACCCCTGGCTGCAAGCTTGAGGTACAGGTTAGAAAGTGAGGTGGGTGCGGAGCCCACGGGACAGTGTGGCCCCGTGGGACCCCCGCCCCCAATTACCGACCTGAATGGAGGGTCCAGGCGGGTTATAAGGGGACCACACCAGCTTGGTCCTCAGCATGCTCCAGCTGGCTCTGGTTTCCAGCTCTTCTCGTCACCGAGTAGCCGGGGGGTCCCAGCAGGGGAACCCACGTGGGTGAGGGGATCAGGAGGGTGGGCAGTGGGGGGTGGCAGGTTGGGGGGGGTGGGTGGCTTCAAACCCCGATTCACATGGAAAAACAACTCAAAAACCGTCAAAGCAACTGGGAGACAATCCCTCCCCCAGGCAGGAAGAAGCAGAAAACTCAAAAACCAAAAAGAGGGGTTAGGGCTGAGGGGAGGAGGTGGGGAAGGAGTGAGGGGGAACTCAAAAGTGAGGTGATCTGGCTGAAGCACTAGGGAACTCAACAGTGTCAGACATCTTCACAATTCAGCAAGCTGCAGCTGGGGGGAGGGGAAGGGAGGGGGAGGCTCTGCTGGGCATTTTGGAATCGGAGAAGTTGCCAGAGGCTCCTCTAGACTCCAAAATGAGGATGCAGATGGAGAGGGTGTGTGGGGGGAGACGCCAAGAAGTTCTACAGCCTCCGCGGGTTTACTTAAGCTTAGATTACACCTGTCGGGGATGTGGGAGGGGTCAGGGCCTAATTCCAGAGCCCATTTCTCATCCTCCTTTGCCCAGCCTGTGGCCCAGGGAGGGTGGGTGACACCCGGCAGCCTCTCTTGTGCACCCTCCTTTTCCTTACCCCCTTTCCACCATCCTGTCGCCCTCTTCCCACCACCAGCTCCCTCCGCCATCAGAAGAGCGTGCAAGGCCTGGAGGGACCTGGCTGGACCCATGGCCCACGGGCTGACCAGTGGTCTTTGGCAAGTAGTTGATATTTGCAGCTGGACATTTTGCTGCATATAGTTTTTGTTCTGTCCCCCCCACACTTTTGGGGGGGTCCTAGTAGAAAATGGGATAACATCTTGCCAATTGGCTGACTCGCTTTGGTCCCCTCACTGTGGCGACTGGAGATGCGGGGCTTTCCAGGTGACAAGGTGTAATCTAATATTCTCCACACCCACCCCCCAGAACAGAGGAAAGAGCAATGCAAAGGGGAGTGAGGCAGGCAGCAGGCGAGAGGTGTCCAGAGCTCAGTGTTCCTGCAGAACATCCCCTCCCAGCCGCCCGCCACGCCCAGTAGAGGAAAGCCTGCTTCTCCACCCCTGGAGCCCCCTCTCCCCGTGGGGTGAAGGTGGAATGAAGGGAAAGGCTGGATCCTGATGTACAACTGACAGCCCCAGGGTCAAGTCCGGAGCCTCAGGAATGGGCAAGGGGGTTGGCTTGGCCAAGTTCCATCAGTAGGAACTGGGAAACTTGCCACACACCCTAACGGAAACCTTTCTGAAAGTCCAAGAGGTACTTAAGACCCAATATCCAAACCTATTATGATTTGGAGGGTACAGGAAGTGATAGCCACCAATTATATAGCTTGGGTACCAGAAAGGTCCTCAAAGGGTTCTAAAGAAGTCCTGGAAGTTGGGGCCAATCTAGACCTTCCACTGGCCTAGGGCATGAAGTGCTGATTTCTTTACTTAGCATTCGAGACTGGGCATTAAATTATCCAGTCCCATCGGGTGTATTCCAGAAGTCTGAAGATATCTGAAATTCTGTGAAGGTGACAGTGCTTCCTTGCCCCACGTTCTCCCTGTACATCTTAGGGACAGAGGATGGCTCCCATTTAACTGGGGCGTGTGCGTTGTGGTTCAATAATGCTATGTTGTGGGACTAACTCACACCTTAAAGGCTTATAATTTTAAAGAGACAAAAAAGAAAGTTAACAGCCAAGGAGCATGAAATCTGGGGAACTTCCCAACCTTGTCAAAAGCCTGAGCTGCACATTCCCCAGGGAGGTTTGGGAACAGAGCTGCCAGCTACATCAAAAGATGGGCGTGGTTTTGACTTTGGTCCTATGGATCACAGCTCAATTTCAGAAAAGGCAAATCCGAATAGGCCATCCTCTGACCCACAAGCATCAGCAGACGCTGGACGTTGTGAAAGGAAGAAAGACTTCGGCTGTGAAGGGTGGGGATTCCTCGTAGCTATGAGCTGTGACGCTGCCGCTCAGGCTACAGTGCCAACAGTTGCAGCTCTCAGGGAACAACATGCCAGGTGGCCTGTCACCTCTGCTGGCCTGGACAATATTTTTGGGCATGGCCTAGCACCCACGCTGGGTCATTTTTGCCCTTTTTCGGCTAGGTGGCCATGGCACTCCCTGTAGGAGTAACAGGAGGTCAAGTAAGAGATGTGGCCCTGGGGAGGTCACAGATCTCATGGGGGCGGGGCTGGAGCCAGGAGAAAATGAGATCGTGGAGGAGCTCGGAAAAGCACCAGCAAAAAAGGAGACCTGAGCAAATGAATTAATGTCTGCCCTATGCTTCTTTTCAAAGCAGTTTCCCATAAGCCATCTCATCCAAACTATAGACATGTGAAGTGCACGGCAGGGAAACAATGGTTCCCTCCAAAAGGAGGCGACTTCCCCAGGCCTTTGCTCAGACTCTTTATTTCCCACTTTTACAATGTGCCAAGTACTATACAGGGCACTTGGCTAGAATGACGTGCTCAATGGAATCTTCTCTCCTACCTGTGAGCTAGGCATGCTGATGGTCTGTATTACTCAAAGGAGAGGATGGGGTCTCCAACAGATCAAGTCACTAGTCTGAGGTTACACAGCCAAGAAGGGACTGGAATCCACATGTGCTGAACCCAGAGCCTTACTCTCACCCCACGGCTACACTGCCCCAAAAGTCCAAATGCTCTTCAAAGATCTCAAGTACCCCTCACTTCCAGTTTACTGGGACCCAGCTTTGTTGTAGGAGAGGGGAAAATCCCCCTCCTTTTATTTGTTGGGGATTCCTGAGAATCAATCTGGCAGATCCCATGCTAGATTAGATGAAATAGGAGAAATCAGCTCCCTGTTATTGCACCTGAAGTCCATATCCCAAGTTGGCCCTGGACTTAATAACTGAAGAGTTTAGAGGAGTAAGGGCAAGAGAAGGGGGAAGGGGACCCCAGAGAAGCTGGCCTTTGCCCTCAGTTATCATCTATGTAGGGTAGGGAGCTGGGGCCAGAAATCTAAATAAATAATTTAAATAATTTACTAGTGGGGTGGAGTGGGACTGTCAAGGATTGCCTTTCTTCAGGGAGGGAGAAGTGGAAGTGTGTATCCCTGAAGATTTACAAGAGTGAGAGAGAAACACAGAGAGAAAGAGCTGAGAGAGAGAAAGTGAGAGAGAGAGAAAGAGGAAGAAAGAGAGAGAGAGAGAGAGAGAGAGGAGGTAAAGGGGGGGAGGGAAGGTTAAGGAGGCAGAGAGAGGGGGAGAGGCTGGGTCCAAAGTTCCCCTGGGTTTTCTCCAGAATTCCACAGTTCTGATGCTCAGGTACCCAGAAAGTGACCATGCTGTATTGCTGAACAAATGACACTTGTGACTGGGCCCAAAGAGAGAAGGTGGGAGAAGCAGCCAACACTACCTGGGAGGCAGAGGCATAGCAACTGAGGACAGGATAACTGGTTATGTATGTCTTCCAGAATCAGCCATGCCATATTTCCTGATGGGCAGTTCTTTATTTGTGCCCAGCCAAGATGCATAAAGTTATCGTGCCAGCTGCCATTTTGAACATGGTTCATGTGCAAGCCTGCACCCTGTGGGTGATGGTCCATTTTAAGGTGGTCGCCTCCCATATGTGGCTGTGTTGTTACATCGAACAAGAACTCAAAACGTCAGGTGCCCATTCAGCTGGGCTTCAAATGCCTATTTTGGGTGTCGGTTGGGAGGGCAGGAGTTGGTCTCACACTAAGGAGAAGGAGGGAAACATGGGTGCTTAAGCTCCCTTCCAACATGGACGTTCCCCGGGAGGGAAGGGGGTTAGCCAGTAAGGGTAGGCAAACCGAACTGCTCTCCACACACCTCACCCACTGCCTAGACCCCTCCTGTGAGCCTACGCGGTCACTTTCTGCCACAGCATCCCAGCTGCGGGACCCCTTCCGCCCTCCCTGCACGGTAGTTGGGACAGGAACACTGGCTTTTTAATCACAATGCGTTTGGAGAACAACCACAGAACAGCTCAGCCCAAGAAAACAAAACCAAATAGCACGGAAACACGATACAGAACCAAAGACGAGACGCTTTGAGGGGGAAGGGGGCTGAAGGAAGGGGGCGGGAGGGGGGAAAAAAGAACGAACCGATCGGTTTTTTCCCCCCCAAAGTGAAACAAAACCAAGAAGAGAAATTAATAAATAAAAGAAAGAAAAAGAAGTAAACCAAAGAAGAAAAACGGAACGGAAGACAAGGAACACTCCAACAGAAGGTGTTGGGAATTCACCAAACCAAACCGACAGGAGTGGCATGCAGAGAAATTTTTACATTCTCCCAGCATGCATCAGGCCCAAGTTACCATGACGACGAGGAGTGCAAAAAACTTAGCAACAACATTACCAACGGATGCATAGAGGCGACCACAATGCAAGCATCGCATGTGTGCGCCGGCCCTCGGCCGGGCTGGGCGCGGCTGAGATTTTCGTGTCTTTCTGGGTTTTTGCTCTCGCTTGGCGGTTTTTTGTTTTGTTGTTTGCTTTGCGCCAGATATTCGCATTCCATTTACTTTTTTTTTTAATGATTATTATCTGTGTGTGTGTGTGTCTGTGTGAGTTTTGTGTGTGCGCGTGTCACTTTCAGAATGTAAAAATGTGGGTAAAGAAAGTAAAAAAGAAAAAAACACACCAACCTTCTCGAAGCTCTGAGGGATGTAAAGGGGGTTTGATGCAGAACACAATGACATGGGGAGAAGAGAAAAAATAGGGGAGATACAGAGAGTAAAAAGAGGACTTCCCAAGGCTAAAAGCTGCAATAGTTTGTTGTTTTTTTTTCTCATTAAACCAAAAAAAATTAAAATTAAAAAATAAAAAAGAACAGCAACAACCTTTTCTCTTTCCTTGACATACAAGATCTATATTTGCCTTTGAATGAGTCCTTCTCAGTTTAATTTCGGAGCATCTGAGACCCAGGCAAAGGCTGGGGGGCTGGACTCCCCAGCAGGAAGGAGGCTCAGGCCGGGCCCCCAGCCCTGGGCGCTGAGGACGCAGAAGCCCCGCCCTGCCCTCTCTCCAGGGCCCCCCCCACCCCGCCCCGGGCCTGCTGCCCGCTCTGTCTGAGTTCTGCCAGAATCACAAACCCCATCCCAGGTGTTTGCAAAGAAATAAACAGGTTAGACGAAGACCGGTCAGTCAGAATTCATGAGCGCACCGTAACTCACCAGCGGGCCGCGGCAGGGAGGGGGGGGGATGTGCGCCCCGGCCCGCCCGCCGCCACCCCCCCCCCCGCGTCCCCTCCCCGCCCTCCATGCAGCTTCCTCCTCGGAGACAAGATGCCCGACTTCGAGTGCGGAACTGGGGAACTGCTTGGGGGCGGGGGCTTCACTGGGAGGAGGGCCGAGGGGCTGCGGGGCGCAGGTCAGCGAGGGGCGCCCGCCTCCGAGGTGGGCGAGGGCAGGGCTGGGGGTGCGGGTGGGGAGGACCGCAGCCCCTGGGGGCACCTCCTGCTCCCGGTTTCTGCCCCACGGACGGGGCCGTGGGAGACGGGCGGTGGGGGGTAAGTGAGGGGGCAGCAGATCATTTCCAAAAGGATCAAAGAGCTGACATAAGGATAAGTGGGGGTCTACAGAGGCATATGGGGGCAAGGGAGGCTCCCCCTGCCCCTCTGGAAGGGAAACCACGGGACCCAGCAGGAAAATGTGCAGACACTCCCCAGGGCTTCCTGGGGGGGGGGCAGGTGCAGGGAAGGACCCCGGTCCCACTGGGGTGCCCGCCTCAGCCTGGGGAGGGGCGGCGCAGGCCCTGGGCGCAGGCCCTGGGCGTGTGTTTCGCAGTGGCCATCCACTGCGCCTAAACCAGACCTTCCTTGAGGGTAACTGGACAAGACCCATAGCACTGGGCTAGGGTGAGGGTGTGGGGCCGGCTTGGAGGGGGACGCCTCAGAGACCCCTCCCCAACTCTCAGATTGAGGGGCCGGGGGAGGGCTGGTGAAGCGGGGAGCTACGAGGCCACGGAGTTTGGAAAAGCGAAGCGAGCACGGAACAGGGGGCCACGGCACAACACACAGCACAGAAGCCGACTGGGATGGGCAGTCGGGTGGGCGGGGTGGGGCAGAGGCCTGCAGGCTCCCCTGCCCTGAGGCCCAAGAGCGACCCCCTCCCCGACCCTGCCCCGGTCCCGCCTGCCTCCCCCCCCACGACCACGGGCATCCATCACCAGGCACAGGGTGGGAGTGGGTTTAAGCTACCCCCATTCTGCAGGCCAGGAAAATGAGGTCCAGAAAGGGCCTTGCCTATGGTCCCCGCTGCGTCCAGGCAGGGGGATCCCGGGCGTGCAGGGGACAGGGGAGCCCGGAGGCTGTGAGCCCGAGGAAGGGGGCGGGGTGGGGCAGGCCCCTGCCTGTGACCTGGATGCGGCGTTCCCTACCTCGCACGTAGAGGTTGGCGGGCGAGGAGTAGCGCACGCCCGCGCTGTTGGCGGCCACACACTCGTATTTGCCCTGGTCGGTCTCCTCGCTGCTTTCAATCTGGAGGGCCCCTGCGGAGAGAGGGCAGAAGGCTCGGCCGGTCAGGGCAGGTGGGGCAGGAAGGGCGGGCTGTCCCAGAGTCCAGTCCAGCCTGTCTCTTGCTCTGGCCGGGCCGCCGAGGCAGACGAAGAGTTCAGTTAGCCTAGAAACCCCGGGGGCCACCCTGGCTCACCTGCCCCTAGCCCTGAGCCGGCCTCACCCTGGCCTGGACATACAGAACTCCCCAACAAAGGCTTCCTTCATGGTCAAGAGGCTGTCCACGCGGCAGGCGCGGCACAAGCGATGGCCACGTTGAGCCACGATGATGAGGGAGTGCACAGGTGGAGGTGTGCTGTAGAAGTGTCCCATGATGCTCTCCACGGAAGAGGGAAGGAGGATTCAAGAGGCCCTGGGCCCTAGGGGGCCACTGCAAATAACACGCATGTCCAGGGGCCTGGCAGTCGCCTGTTGATTGCACCCCTGTGCGCCTGCAAACGGTCATGGGTCTGGGATCCTCAGTGTGTTTGCAATGACAGACGCCCACAGTGCCCATAAGGGAGAAACAGAGGGTGGTATTTTTCCAACAGTGTTTGAAGTTTCTGGGCTGGGGTGCATCCATGGTATCTGGGGTAGCATCCTTTACCTGAGGTACAGGACGTTGCCACTGATAAACATTTAGTATACCTGAAATCAAAGGCTGGAAGAAAGCCTTCTGCACCTGAAACTACATGATGAGGCAGCTGAGCTGCCCGAGGATTTACTTCAGTCACCTGGGCAAGTCAGTCTGAACTCACCCACCTGCTGCAAAACCAGCCCGGGGTTCAGGATCTTGGTGCTCGTGAATGACTGACCTCTGTCAGGTGCTTTTGAGAATTATGGTCCTAGCCCCAAGGCCGGGGAGGGCTCGCAGGTTTTGAAAACGAGGAGAGTTTTCCAAAGTTTTTAAAATCAGAGGTCTCAATGAACACCTTGCACACCCACAAATAAAAGTGGAGGTTGAAATTCTTCAAGTATGTTTGACATCACAACCAGCAAAGGACTTGTTGCTTATGAGTGAATGAGAGGCCAATTTTCTCAAGTATACGTAAAACCACAGGACCAAAGCAGAGTCATGGCGATCACAGAGCTGACTTCCCCTCAGCGTGTGTGAAATCCCAGGCTAGAGTTTACTCCCGGTGAACACATCAAAATGAGTGAACCATCCCAAGAATATCTGAAAGCCCAGGCCGGGAGCAAATGGTTATGAGTAAACAGAAAAGGAACCCAGATTACTCCACAGATACCTGGAACCACAACCCCAAGCAAATTCTCACTTTCCTAAGTAAATGAAGCTGATCGAACATCTTTAAGTCTGTCTGAAATCATAGGACTCAATGATACCCACGAGGAAATAAAAACGAGGCAGATATGGCTGAAATCAAAGGCCTGGGCTGAAGCCCCCCGGCACAACTAAGGAAAACTGAGCGGACGTCTCTGTGTATGTCTGAGTCGGAGGCTGGGGCCCGAGAGCTCGCTGACCACGAGCAAGCGGACATGAGCGACTGTCTCCTACTGTGTGAGTCCCGGGCTTTAACCAGAGACCTGGTGCCAGGAGTCCGGACACCCAGTCCACACGCTCAAGCAGAACCCTCCCTCAGCTTTATCCAAGGTGATCCCACTGCAGTGACATGAAGTCACAGACTGAAAATGAGGCTCCGGGGAAGGCAACGGGGCAGAGAGCGTGAGGAGTCTGCCTCCGCTCCCACCGCATGGCTCGGCAAAGCCACAACCAGACCTGACTTCTTCCTGGGCTCTCGCACATCAGCTAGTCTTGGGGCAGCACCGGAGGGCTGGCCTGTGAGGCTGCCTCACTCTGTTCCCTCAGGCACCCTATTCTGCTTTAAAAAAAAGCTACAGAGCCAAGGGCCCCTCTGGACCCTCACTTTACAGATGGGAAAACCAAGGTTAGAGATGGACAATAGCTGCAGACAGAGACTGGTCAGAAACCCATGTCCAGCACTCTGGGGGGGCTGGGCAGACTGGCCCTTCCCGAGGGTGAGACAGCTCCCCTCTGCCCCCAAGCAGGTGTCCTGAGGAGCCGCTGCGGCCACCTGGCCCCCCAGCCACAGACAGCAACACAGACACAGAGACTGGACCAACACGGGCAGGGGTTGGCAAGGAGACTCGTGGAGGGGTGCCGGGGGCAGCCCCTCTGCAGCTGGGGAGCTGGCGGGCAGTGAGAGAGCGTGAGTGGGGGTGAGTGAGGAAAGAGCCTCTTACCTCGGATCGGAGTGCTTTCTGTAAGGGAAGCAGAGAGAATCAGGTGAATTTCAGAAGGCAGTCCGGGGGGGCCGGGGGGCCCCGGGGAGGCACAAGCCAGGCCTGTTCACTCTGCCCCCGGCAGTTAAGCCAGCCCTGATCCTTGCTGAGGTGAAGCAGCAAGGCCCCATGGACCAGGGTGGGACCTGAGGGCTTGCTCATCAGAGGGCTTCCCATCGGAGGTGGGAGTCTCCTAGGGAAGGAAGGGGCCACTCTACAGGCCCCCGGGGCGCTGCTGTGCCCGGCGAGGTCTAGGGCCTGGCCTGGCCCTGCTGGCTGCCTTCCTTCTGGGCTGAGGAAGGGCCATGACCTCTGTCTTGTCTTTTCTTCTCAGGAGGGACAAGGAGCGATGGGGTCTGAGGCATCTTGTTAGAGATGGGGGAAGGGTTAGTGCCCTAGGGCCGGGCATTAATAAAGCAAAGGGGAGATGTTACAGACAGGCCAAGTAAGGGGGAGAGGGAAGGGCAGAGAAAGGGGAGCCAGGCAGAGGGAGGACCCTGAAGCCTCTCAAACTTCCAAAAGGAAAAGAGGAAAGGACTGTCTTGGTGTCTGGGCGCTGGGGCAAGGAAATCTCAGGAGACAGGCAATGCTCAGGGCTGCCGTGTCGCACCTCAGAGCTCAGCCCCACAGCTGAGTGTCGGGGGTCCCCCTCTTTCTCTGCTGGTGATCGTTGATAACCTCGCCTCAAGGCCAGGGTGGAGAAGGTGCCAAGGGAGAGAAAACATAGCTCCTTTTGCAAGGCTCAAGCTCATTTTACAGACAGGCAGACTGAGGCCCAGGGCGGCAGTCATCCTGAGCCAGAGGCAGAGGTGGGTCTTGGACACAGCTCTCCAACAGCCCTCCCCTGACTGGAGACCCACTCTTCTGAATGGGGTTGGGTGGCTTGTATAATCTCTTACAAGAGTCTCAAGCGACAAGGCCATTTTCTCCTCTTTACATAGGAGGAAATGGGAATTTGCCTAAGGTTGCACTCAGGAGAGCTAAAATCTGGGTCAGTGGCAATCTAGGTCAACCCCTGCTTTGGATTGTTCTACTACACTTCATTGGGGTGATAAAGGCCGAAAAAACAGACTTCAAACGATGGCCCAGCAGCCTATGATCATTATATTGGTGGTGGAGGGAATGTCCCTCATGGGTACTAAGGGTGTTTCTGCTTCCCACTCCAAAGAAAATAAGAAACTATCAAGGGCCAATTGCAGTCACTCTCACTTTGGTAAGAATTAGCCCGGGAGCTGATTTCAGGGGATCCAGGCTAGATGCTGGGTAAAGAGAATTAGAAATGCCCAGGACCACCCCACCTAGATACAACCCTCTCAGATCTGATTTTACCATTTGCTAACAGGGTCAAGGCCCAGAATGGGAGCAGAAGGACCATTACGTAGAAAGGCCCATGGGTTCTCAATTCCTCAGATTTCCCCTCACCCCCATTCTGGGGTGCGATCTAACCCTGGCCGTCTTGGGTTTTTCCCTCTTTTCCTTTCGGGCTCCTCTCTCTGCAGCTCCCTGGTGCCCGGCTGAGGAAGGCTGGAGGACCACTGGGGCAGGGGGTGGGGGTGGGGGGCAGGAAGGCGTTAGTAAACATGCCACGCGGAGTGGATCACAGTTACTGTCACGGTGGCTGTTAGTCTGGGGGGAGAGGACGGGGGCACAAGGGGGGGCGTTAGTTGTTGACGTGGTGAAGAAATTAGACTTACCAAAGGTTTCTGAACGTTTACAACGGAGGGACAAGAAAAGAGAAGAGGAACATTAATGGGTGGTTACTCGGGAGCCGGGATGCTCACTGAGGTGGGAAGTCAGAATCATCATCAGGTCGATGTGATTGACACAGCGGCTGTT